GTCATAAAATATTTGTTAAGCACCATTCTCATATATTGAGCACACTTTTGCTGAGAATATTATTAATAACTTTCAAATTGCTCATAAAACTGTATATTTCCACGTAAAAGCCCAGCAGAATATCTATCTAATGGCCAATCCACTACTCAAAGGAAATTTACCGTCTGCCATGATAAATGTGCTATTACTTGAATGTAGGAGTTCTAGGGAAATCTGTTTAGAATCGCATAGCTGTACAGCAATGTCATCTTCAGCCTCTAATACTCTTCCTTTCTAACTGGTCAGTGCTAGCTATGATCTAAGGCAATGAAAGAGCCATTTGTTTCACTCAATTTGAAACCAGTATTTCTAAAGCCATTGGAGAAGCTGGCTCTTCTCATCAGAAACGATTCTGGACTTGTCACAAAGTATCCCCAGACCAGAGGCTCTGGTGAGATGTATTCCCTTTATTCACCCTCCATCCCTGTACAGGAATCTTGTATCCCAGTAAAATAAAAATACAGTTAAATCTGGGATTATCTTAGAACTATTTGAAGACTTCTGCCTTACCACACAGCATGAAGATGTGAGTTCATTAAACTAAAGAGAAGCCTGGGTCATTTAAATCCCCCAGTTAATGTCCAAACAGAAGTATATATTTAAAAGTAAATCTGGGTCAGATGATACATTGACTCTGACTGGCTGCCATCTAAGAATGAGCAAAGATCTGTTCCAGTTCTCATGTTCAAATTATTTGGCTTTAAACATTTATTAGATTCTTAAGCAAATGGTATGGTAGGAATTCCTCTGTCATTCTCCTATTGCAATTCACACCCCGACTTCTATCTCTCTTCCTCTCTCCCCTCCCCATCCCTGCTCCCTGCTCTCCTCTTTTCCCTCCATACACAAATACACACAAACTAACTCTCTCTCTCTCTCTCTCTCTCTCTCTCTCCATATAAACTGTTGCTCTGAGTAGTATTTTTTCCTGATGACTCTTTGATAAACCATGATGTATCTATGAGGATGACCATAATCCATCCAGGTTTTCTTCACACCTATACCACTTTCCTACGGTTCCATTTGCCCTTGGTCTTTATGAGATTTATCACTAGTCCATAAAGATGTCATAATCCTGGAATAGAAAGGGAGATGACATCATTACATACAACAGTTACCACTTTCCCACTGATAACAAAACTAAACTTCATAAAACTCCCTTTCTAACAATAGGACCTAGAGGCTGAGTACTATCCTCATGTCTCAGGCCAACAAATTAAAATGAAAAGAAGAGTTGAACACAAACTGCAAAGAGTCTGGAGATTTTGCTCAAGAAATGTACCCTACTTTTCTACACAAACCTAACTCTCCTCAGAAGTTCATTATCCCTTTCAAATTATGCTAACACTCAAGCTGTAGAAAAAAAGAACAGTGGTAGAAAAGAAAAAGAAAGTAAAGGAGAAGATGGGAAAGAAAAATTTTGGAAATCAATAATAGTCAATTGTGGGTAAAATTTAAAATTAACTATGGAAAATTAAAAAATAAGAACATTGAAAAGGTTTACCCATATTACTGGAAAATGGTAAATCCTACATTATAAATAAATAAGAGGGTGCATGGTTTTTAAAAAAAAAACAAGAAGAGGCAACAAATAAATGAATATAAGAAAGCAAAAGGTAAAGAAAAGGAAAAATTTAGAAAAATCAAAGGAGACAAAATGTGAAGTAATTTTTAGAAGTCTTGATGACAAGAGAAAAACTATCAAAAGAGGATTTGGAGAAAGTTTGAACAACTGTAATATATTTGCAATGTCCTTCACAAATCTAAACACGCTTTATAATTTTAAGAACATAACGTGTAACCTATATAACTTTTTTGGTCATTGAAATAGTCATGTCTGGTACATTAAGAAGCATATTTCTTTCAGATTACTGCAATTTTTAAAAACTTACTGCCAGTGGAATGCCAATTTATGAGAAGCAAGATGAAATGTAAGAACAGAAGAAGTCATACATTTAATCATATAACAGATGATGTTAACTGGGTTTTTACTATTTCCTGTCTAGTAGATACAGAAATATTTTGTTAAAGATGCCAAGGAGCAGAAAGAAAAAGAAAACTCTCTCTGGATACACTTTTGCCCCATGCATGTTTGCCTAATCAGCAAACATCAACATAAGGGTCTGGTGGCCTTAGTGGTATATATGCTTAGGATGAGAATTTCTCTTCTCTGAGCCTCATGTTTCATCTTTAAAATGAGAGGGTTGGATTACAATGCCACCTATTTCTGACTTAACATGATACTTCAAAAGCCACAGTAGTGTACACTGTCATTCTCATCCAGACTGCTCCCTCCCAAATTCCTTCAAGAATGAAGCACTGATTCTCCCAGCTGCTGGGAGTAAGACTTGACAGCTCTTAAATGCATTCCTCTCTAGGAATTGCCCTTGACCAAAGAGGTCTACCCGATCAAAGGCTATGCCCCACACTTGGAATCAGTCTTGTAGCCAATGACTGGTCCGTGAAGAGATGTGAAGGCTGGGCCCTGTTGCCTCAATTCAGGATGTCTCTGCATGGCCATTCCAGCTTAGAGCTGTCATGGTGTCAGCTGAGGTCTTTGTGGCAATTGCATCACAGTTCAACTTCTCCCTCTGCCCAATCCTGCTTCGTTCATTCCCTAACATGTCCCTAAGAGCACAACCCAATATATTTCCATCTCAGAATCTGTTATTTCAGGAACCCAACATTGGACAGGCAATACATCTTTCTTACTTCTATGACAACAACAGTGCCTCCTAAAAGCAGAAATGTTTATTTTAAGATTTGTATGGTAGGTCTTATTTTAAGTAATCAGGGGTTATGAAACCAATACGACTGTCCAAAAATTATTTTTACAGAAAACATGCTAAAGCATTATAAAATTATTTCAGAGGATTCATGGGTAGGTAGAAATATAAAAACACTACAAATTAAGATTTTCATTCACTATTCTAATGACTAAAATATATATTATAATCTAATTTAAAGGAAAAAAATGAGTGAATTTTTTTAAAGTCTTTAATTCTGTAGGGAAAATAAAGACTAGTCCTAACAAGTTAAAAAAATAGATAAATCCATAAAGATGAGAAAATTAAGTAAAATGCAGAGTAAAAGAGAAATTTTACTAATAATAAGATGTACAAAATAAAATATTCTTGGGGAGAAAATTAAAAAGTGAAATACAAATGAAAGAATTACTACATTTTAAAAACTCTCAAAATTAGAGAAACAGAAAAAAACACACACATGTATATAATCAACACCGTCACTAGAACTTATGTCTCATAAAATGAACCAAAGTTTTTTTTATATTTTTTCCTGAACTTCATAGAATTCTTTTAAAGTTTCTGTCAAAAACTTGGGTGATTGTTTTTCTTTTTTCTGTTCTCTCTATTGCTTTCCCCCCCCCCCAATGTATAAAGATTTTTACATGTCCAGAATAGTAAGACAAGCTAATACATTTTTCTCTTATTGGGGCATCTCTTCTGCCCACTTTATTGCTTACTTCTTGTCTGTTCCTTGCATAAGTCACTTTCTTCTGCATTATTCAAACAATCAGAGAAATTATTGAAACTGACCAGAAAGGCAACTGGTAAATAGAAACATATTCTTTAACACAAGTTCAGCTGCCACCTCCACAATTCAAAATGAACTGTCCTGCAAATAAATTAGATGTTTCAGAGATACTTCAAGCTTGGCAACAAGAGAAATGCTGGACTCTGATAAAGTAGCAACAGCTGACTTAGTAGTCCTAGAATGATTCTGCGTCTGATGCCTGTCAGGATAACAGGTCTTATTTACTGTCTCTTGCCTTGGTCCTTCTAAGTCGGTATAGTTCTCTGTTTACTTATCCCTTAACTTTAGGCCCTGGAACAATGTTGAACATAGTGTCACTGGCCCTGGTGCCAGACAGGATCAGGGGCTCTGGAATATTTACAGTTTCCCTTTTTCTGCTTCCATAAATGAAATGGACAGTCTGAATGGAGAAAATCAAGGGCCAGCTGGCTAAAAAACACAACTGGCAGCAAAACACTTGGGTCCCTTCCAAGAGCTGATGTTTAAAGAGAGGCCATTTAAAGAGCAAATTCCAGCTACCACAATAATGGTTTGGGACACTAGCTGTAGCATGAAGCAGTAACATTTCACTCAAAATGATTTTAATTTCCAAAGTTTGGAACCTATCACATGGGTCCCTTCTTCTTGCAAAATTTTCTAGTCTTAGAAAATCCTTTATACCCATAACAAATGCCAAATATATACTTTGAGAATGTCAAACAAATTCAGTGACCAAACTCTTATTTTTGCTTAAGTTCATTCACACAAAAATAAACAAACTTGTTAGGAAATTGAGAAGGAAAAAGAGAGAAATGAGAAATTTCACAAAATCTTAGATGGGATAGTCTGACGGAAGACAGTCAGATCCTTAAACTACTCTGAGTGGTTATTAATATATCAAGAGGCTAACTGATAAACAAAGAAAGGTGGATTTCCTCCCGCCCTCCCCCCAAATAAACTATTACTCTAACTTCAGTGTTTAAGGAAAAATGCAATAATCTTCTTGGGAGGAAATCATGTTGAAGCACTAGAAATCTAGGAGATAGATGTTAATTATTTTTTTCCTTGTAGGCTCTGATAATGACAACCCTGGGCTAACTATTTATTTAACCCTAGCATCTCTGACAGGTGCCAAATCAGAATTATACATAACGCCATTTTCAGAGAGAGAGCTTTAGGATTGTATATTATAAGGTATGTACATTATAAGATCATCATTTCTTCACCACCCAGGAGCAGATGGATTTAGCTATGCTGCCTCTTTTTAAATATACACACATGCATAAATGATTGGAAAGAGAAATGGAGGAAGGACCCAGAAAAAGAGCAAAGGGGTTCAGTCAGGTAAGCGCCACCAGTGGATTTTTGATGCTCTGGTCCCCGAAATGGGTAAAACCAGTAACCGGAGACTCCCTAGAAGGCATTACCTCTATGTAGGGCACGATCTTACAGGAGAAGTCCTCCAGCAGCCACTTCTTGGTCAGCTCGTGGAAGATGACAAGAGGAAGGCAGAAGAAGATGATGAGAAAGTCCCAGAAGGCCAGGTTGGCCAAGAGGGAGTTGGAGATGCTCCGCATGTAGTAGTTGTGACACACGATGCACATCACCGCCAGGTTGCCAATGATGCCAGTCCCGAAGATCACCACAGACAGACACATGACCGCGTAGGCTCCGTAGGACTCCTGAGTCAGCGGATAGAAGGGGTTCTTCAGCCTCACACGCCGGTTGGTGCTGTTCCCCGGGCGAGGACCCCCGCGCTCGTGGCCTCCTTCACCCAAGGACCCATTCTGGGCCAGCGCTCTGCCGGGGGGTGCGATTGTCCGCCCTTCGTGCCCTGCGGGTCCACTGACCGTCTTGGGTGGGGGCTTGTGGTGGGAACCCGGGATTTTCCCAGCTCTCCTTGGCCAATAAAAAAGATCACTGACCCCAGGCACGGTCCTAACACTCTGCTCCCGCCTGCGCCCGGAAATACCTGTTCCTCTGGGACCCTTCTCTTCCTCCGAGATCTGAAGGAAGAGTTGGAGGGTCGTGGGGTCGCCTCTCCCCAAAGTTTCAGAGGGCTCCTGGCCCCGAGCACCTTTCCACCTCCAGGGGCCAGACGGCCCGGTTGGAGCTCCCAAGGGTCCGGCTGCGGACGCCTCGGCTCCTCTGCCCGCTCCGGGGTCACCGCCCCCGGGGACAGCCAGCAGGTCCCAGGAGGGCGCCCCGAGCACCGCCGCCTCCTGCTCCTCCCTGGGCGCACGGGCTCGCAGAACGTCTCCAGCAGGACTTCCCAGTCCCCAAGCGTCCCTGCTGCGGCGCTGGGTCAGTGTAGAACAGCTATCCCCGAGACAAGTTGCGTTCCTGGGCGCAGGGGCGGACCCGAGGGCAGGCGAGGCAGAAGCCTTGAGCAGCAGCAGCAGCAGGAGCCGCGACGCGCGGACGAGGAGTGCGCCCGGGGCCCGCATGGCGTGGCGAGGGCACCTGTTTAGGACCGACACCTGCTGCCGAAGTTGCTGCTGAGAGTTAGGCGCATGTCGCATACTCACCCCCGCCCGGGCAGCGGGGGACCGGAGATCCCAGGGAGGGTGGGGGATGGGCCCTGGGGGTCACACACACACACACACACACACACACGCCCCCTACAACCCTTCCTCCTTTGGCGTCCTGGGCATTCCTCAGCCAGATCCAATCCGAGCGAGGTGTGCCCTCAGGGTCCTCGAGGGAACCGCTGCTCCCGGCCGCTGACCTTGAAAAGTTGCAATCAACAACCTGACTGTGGATGGATGCTGCGAGCGGGGGCGGAGGAGGCTGGACGAAGCCTCGCGCTCCCGCTCCCCGCCGGGGGGTGGTCGCCTTCCCGGTGACCGTCGCTTTGCCGATCTACATCCTTTCGGCCGTTCTTTCTCCAGCGGCAAGCCGAGGTCTCCGGAGGGAAAGACAAACAAGTCCCCCCCAGCCCCCCGCGACGCTCGGCCGGCACCACCCCGCTCCCCGCGCGCTGGAAACAGGTGCCCACAGCCGGTCGCTGCCCGGATGCGCCGGGCCAAACTCGGGCCCCGCCTGACCCGGCTCCGGGCGACGCCGCGGTGGCCGCGGAGAAGCGCGGCTCCAGACCCGCGGCCACTGTCGAAGTTGCGTCTCCTGCCGCTCAAAGTTGCCGAGGGCGGCGACGCGGGCTGCCGGGGAGAAAGCGAGGGCGGGGAGCAGGGGGAGACGCGGCGCCGCTCGTC